CTATCAAACATAACTCAAAATGCACAAACAACAGAAGAGAAACCAGATGATTGGGACCTTCTAAAGATTAAATTTTTGTGTACTTCCAAAGACTTCTCCAAAAGAGTCAATAGAGAACCTACAAATTGGGAAAAAATATTTGGTAATGACATATCTGACAAGGGACCTATCTCTAGAGTTTATAGAACACTCCAACACATCAATAACAAAAAGACAAACAATCCAATTAAAAAATGGGCAGAAGATCCCGGCCCCCACCAACCCCCCCAGACAGGTCCCCCTTGAGCTCATCCCTCAGCTGCCACCATGAGCAAGCAAGATTATTCCATGGATGAAATGACACAGCCATGGTAAAGATTGAAAAAGGAGTTGGTGGCAATAATGGGGGCAATGGTAATGGTGGTGGTGCCTTTTCTCAGGCTCGAAGCAGTAGCACAGGCAGTAACAGCAGTGGAGGAGGAGGAAGGCAGGAGTCCCAGCCATCCCCTTTGGCTCTTCTGGCAGCAACTTGCAGCAGAATTGAGTCACCCAATGAGAACAGTAACAACTCCCAGGGCCCAAGCCAGTCAGGGGGCACAGGTGAACTGGACCTTGCAGCCACACAACACTCACAGGGCACCAATGGCTAGCAGATTATCTCTTCCTCCTCTGGGGCTACCCCTACCTCAAAGGAACAGAGTGGCAGCAGTACTAATGGCATGAGTCTTCCAAGAATCACACAGTCTCTGGTGGGCAGTATGTTGTGGCTGCCACCCCAAATTTACAGAACCAGCAAGTCCTGCAGGACTACCTGGAGTGATGACCAATATTCAGTATCAAGTAATCCCACAGTTTCAGACTGTTGATGGGCAACAGCTGCAATTTGCAGCCACTGGGGCCCAAGTTCAGCAGGATGGTTCTGGTCAAATTCAGATCATACCAGGTGCAAACCAACAGATTATCACAAATCGAGGAAGTGGAGGCAACATCATTGCTGCTATGCCAAACCTGCTCCAACAGGCTGTCCCCCTCCAAGGTCTGGCTAATAATGTTCTCTCGGGGCAGACTCAGTATGTGACCAATGTACCAGTGGCCCTCAATGGGAACATCACCTTGCTACCTGTCAATAGTGTTTCTGCAGCTACCTTGACTCCCAGATCTCAGGCAGTCATGATCAGCAACTCTGGGTCCCAGGAGAGTGGCTCACAGCCTGTCACCTCAGGGACTGCCATCAGTTCTGCCAGCCTGGTATCATCACAAGCCAGTTCCAGCTCCTTTTTCACCAATACCAATAGCTACTCAACAACTACTACCACCAGCAACATGGGAATTATGAACTTTACCACCAGCAGATCAGCAGGGACCAACTCTCAAGGCCAGACACCCCAGAGGATCAGTGGGTTACAGGGGTCTGATGCTCTGAACATCCAGAAGAACCAGGCATCTGAAGGTTCACTACAAACAAGTCAGCAAAAAGAGGGAGAGCAAAACCAGCAAACACAGCAACAACAACAGATTCTTATTCAGCCTCAGCTAGTTCAAGGGGGACAGGCCCTCCAGGCCCTTCAAGCAGCACCACTGTCAGGGCAGACCTTTACAACTCAAGCTATCTCCCAGGAAACCCTCCAGAACCTCGAGCTTCAGGCTGTTCCAAACTCTGGCCCCATCATCATCTGGACACCAACAGTGGGGCCTAATGGACAGGTCAGATGGCAGACTCTTCAGCCGCAGAACCTCCAAGTTCAGAATCCACAGGCCCAGACAATCACCTTGGCTCCAATACAGGGTGTTTCCTTGGGGCAGACAAGCAGTAGCAACACCACCCTTACACCCATTGCCTCAGCTGCCTCCATCCCTGCTGGCACAGTCACTGTGAATGCTGCCCAGCTCTCCTCCATGCCAAGCCTCCAGGCCATTAACCTCAGTGCATTGGGTGCTTCAGGAATCCAGGTGCACCAACTTCCAGGCCTGCCATTGACTATAGCAATTGCCTCAGGTGATCATGGAGCTCAACTTGGCCTCCATGGGGCTGGTGGTGATGGAATACATGATGACACAGCGGGTGGAGAGGAAAGAGAGAACAGCCCAGATCCTCAACCCCAACCTGGACGGAGGCACTGATGCACCTGTCCCTACTGTAAAGACAGTGAAGGAAGGAGCTCTGGGGACCCTGGCAAAAAGAAACAGCACATTTGTCACATCCAAGGTTGTGGCAAAGTATATGGCAAAACCTCACACCTATGGGCACACTTGCACTGGCACACAAGCGAGAGACCATTCATGTGTACCTGGTCATACTGTGGGAAACGCTTCACACATTCGGATGAGCTGCAGAGGCACAAACGTACACATACAGGCGAGAAGAAATTTGCCTGCCGTGAGTGTCCCAAGCGCTTCATGAGGAATGAACATCTGTCAAAGTATATCAAGACCCACCAGAATAAAAAAGGGGGCCCAGGTGTAGCCCTGAGTGTGGGTACTTTGCCCCTGGACAGTAGAGCAGGTTCAGAAGGCAGCGGCACTGCCACTCCTTCGGCCCTTATTACCACCAATATGGTAGCCATGGAGGCCATCTGTCCACAGGGTATTGCCCGTCTTGCCAACAGTGGCATCAACATCATGCAGGTGGCAGATCTGCAGTCCATTAATATCACTGGCAATGGCTTCTGAGATTAGATACCTGAGGCCAGAGACATATGGGCCATACCCATCAACCCCGGGATGCAAGGTAGCATGGGTCCAAGAGATATATGGGAGAGAGAGCCGTGAGGCATTAAAATGGATGGTGGTGGGAAGAATTGGGAGAGGCATACAAGAGAAGAGATGGGGTCCTGGAACCCACCTATATCATCAGTGCTTCCTTGAAGTGGGAAACATTAGTGAAAATTTTGTTGGCGCCACTCTTTGGTGAGCATTTGTTTGACCCCAGACAATTTCTTACACTTCTTAACCCAGCCTCCCCTTCCTGCCTTTCCCATCTCAGCTCCCCCATAATGGATTCCCCTCCCCTTTCCTAAAGCCATCATGCCTTGATAAATATATATGATCACTGAAATACTTTTTAACAAAAAAAGATTCTATATTAGAGAGAGAGAGAGAGAGAGAGAGATGCATTCACAGGGGTTGGCTGGGAGGAGGAAGGAGACCATTCTGTGACCAAAATACCTTGGTCATTTTTTATATTGCCTTATTTCCCTATGGCTGAGCCTTGTTGTGACACATCAAGCTTTTCTGTAGATGTTGTCGTGGCTTCCCACCAGATGAAGCATTCATATGATCTGCTTTTAGTTGATATATACATACATAATGTTTTTCCTGTTTTAATTTTGTCTTTATTTGGGATCAGCTTCTTGCACTCCTTTCCTCACTCAACTCTTTCTGTCTCCCTTTCTCTTACCTGATCACTTCATGTTTTATGTTTGGTAGTGATCCCTGGATGAGATTCTTCTGTCAATATTATCTTTTAAAGTCCTTAGTCCTTGCAGCAGAACAGAGAAGCCTTGAAGCCCAGGCTGATGCTTGAGGTAGTTATGGAGTGAGTATTTGAAAAACTACTGATGCAGGCGCCCTCTTGGTGCTGGAGAGTCAAAGGCACCTCCCTTCCCTAGCTGCTTTTAAGTATCGAGATTCAGAAGTTTTTCTAGGTAAATGGACAGGAGAACCTCTGGAGGTGATAATCCGGGGTCAGAATGAATAAACTGTCAAAAGATGGCTAAATAATAGGTCAGGGGTTTCAGTAGGAGAATGATGTGTTCAGAAGAGAAGGTAACTCAAAGTAGTTGAGTTCAAAAGTTAGTGGAGGTTTGGACTTTTGTACAGCTGTCTTCTTCCAAGGTAGCTCTAGGCTTTGATGTGTGGGCTTTTGAGTTCTCACTCTGAAAGGAAATATACTTCCTCTTTTGAACATCCTTAGAGTTTTCTTCCCACTGTGTTATTAAGGAAGAGCATCTAATGCATCTGTTCCAAGTTTCCATTTTGTAGAACTCCAGAGTATGTACTAGGTAGTGGCAAGGCAGTAGTTCTTACGTTCTTTTCCCTTAACTCTTCCTGTATGTACTTGTGTGGTTCCTAAGGGAAAAGGAAGCATAGGAGCATGGGAAAGGTAGCCCAGAAAAAAAAGCAATCTTGTCTTACCACTGTGGTTTATAGGAGAAATTGGGAGAAATCATCCTGTTTTTTCATGGCCTGATTCCAGAAGAGACTGATCCAAAATTATAGTGGCAGGGAATTCTTGGTGCATCTGGCACTGAGATTTAAATACAACCAGAACTGTCCTCAAGGCCCAGCCATTAAAGCATTGTCTCTCTTGACTTTCTGGTATCTCCTCAGAGAGCTTTTCACTGTGAGGAAGTGTGGAAATGGCTGTGTATATGTGTGTAATCTGTTAGATTGGGGATAGGTTTTCTGTTAGTACTAAAAGAGACCTGCAATAAAAATTTACCCTGATCTGATAGAAAGTGAAGTTTTTGTGTATGACTGTTTGAATGTGTGTTCGTGCTTGTATATATCTACACACAGATGAAAAATTATATTTGAAATTTTTGGAAAGTAAATCAAATTCAGATCAAAATGCCTTCCGGGCCCTTTACCTGGAAATATATCTTAAAACCTGGGTATGTTCCTGAGGTCATTCCTTTGCTTACACTAAATCAGTTATAATTATGAATGGGGGATATTCTACTGCACTTTTAAAAGAGGAAGCTGTTTCTGTGTTTGGAAGTAAAACTAACAGCCAGATCTATAGCAGAATCCTAGTTCTTTTCATAAATCTTTTTACCTTGGCTACAAACAGATGATGCAATGATTCTATTATATATTTTATATAAAAATCCATCTAAATTATGCTTTGGTTAAGTTTGTATTGTTGATGTTTAACTTGAAATAGAATAACTGTTAATATTCTAAAAAAAAAAAAAAAAAGAATGGGCCGAAGACATGAATAGACACTTCACCAAGGAGGATATCCAAGCGGCCAAAAAACATATGAAGAAATGCTCACACTCATTAGTTATTGTTGTTGTTGTTGTTATTTGCCATCGAGTCGGCCCCGACTCACAGTGACCCCTCCTTGGGTTTTCGAGGCAGTATCACTACGGAAAGTAGGAATGCCCAACCTTTCCTGGAAGGAAACCCAAGGAGGGGTTGCTATGAGTCGAGTCCGACTCGATGGCACATAACAACAACAACAACATGCGTTGTTGTAATGCTTCATTAGCTATTAGAGAGATGCAAATCAAAACAACAATGAGGTACCATCTTGTTCCAGCACTAGTAGCAAACTTCAACAAAACAAAAAATAACAAATGCTGGCGAGGATGTAGAGAGATTGGGACTCTCATACACTGCTGGTGGGACTGTAAAATGGTACAACCATTGTGGAAAACAATATGGCGACTCCTTCAAAAGTTAGAACTAGAAATACCATTTGACCCAGCCATTCCATTACTAGGTATATACCCTAAAGAAGTGAGAGCTATGACAAGAACAGACATTTGCACACCCATGTTCATCGCAGCACTATTTACAATAGCCAAAAGATGGAAACAACCTAG